TTTGCGCTCGGCGAAGAAAATTTCTTCGCCGCGGCGAAATGCCTTAGCCAATTTTTCAGCAAAGTACTACTTTCCTTCGCCGCGGCGACACAATCACTTCGCCAAGGCGAAATCCTCCAGTAGCAATTTGGTATTCTTCATGTCTCTTCGCCGCGGCGAAGTCTGGAAATTTTTTATACCTTCCTTTGGCTCAGACTTCACCTGAAACACCGAAACAATAAAAACATCAAATTTTATACAAACTCAATGAAATAAGAGAATTCAAACAACCAAAATTAAAATCAAAAAGTTAAAAACACTTGGGTTACCTCCAAGAGAGCTTGTTTTAGTCGGAAGCTTGACTCTTTCCATCCTTAGGTTGGGATGTCCAGCCGGATTGGGATGAACTTGCAACTCATCACCCCCTCAATGGATGGCTTCAACCTCTGTCCTAACCGTGAAAGTGCCCTTTTCTCATGTGTGACTTCCACTGCTCCGGATGCATGAATCCTCGTTATCGTGAATGGTCCGGACCATCTAGAAAAGTTTTCGGGGAAAGCCTAAGTCTAGAGTGAACAAACAATACTTTCTGCCCAACTTCAAAAGCCTTGACCCGGATGTGCTTGTGTGCCACCTTTTGTCTTCTCTTTATAATTCCGGGCATTTCATATGCTTCGAGCCTAAACTCATCAGCTGTTCAAAGTCAGCATTCGTCCTCTCCGCGGCTTTTAAGTCCTGTTCAACTGCTTGACGGCCCATAGTGCTTATGTTCAAGTTCCACCGGCAAGTGGCACAGCTTTCCCATAAACCAATCTGAACAGAGACATACCAATTGGGGTTTGAAGGCAGTGCGATAAGCCATAAGCATCGTCAGCTTCCGTGACCAATCCTTCCGAGGCATTAACTGTTTGTTCTAAAATCCCCTTCATCTCTATCGACAAGTTCCACTTGCCGCTCGTTTGTGGATGGTAAGGTGTTGCCACTCTAGTGTCACTCCATACTACTCAGCAGTGCGTCCATTTGCCTATTGCAAAAATGCGATCCTCCATCATAATAATCGCTCGTGACACCAAACCTTGAGAAAATATTCTCCTCACAAAATCAATCACCACCCTAGCATCATTAGTTGGCAATGCAACTGCCTCAACCCATTTCGACACATAATCTACAGCTACCAAGATATACGTCTTCCCATAGAACTTGGGAAAGGACCCATGAAATTAATCCCCCAAACGTCAAAATTTCAACCACCAGGATGTTGTTCAACGGCATTCATCTCTTTTGAAATACTCCCATCCGTTGACATTGGTCAACACTCGGTCATCCGGAAGGAATCCTTAAAGAGGGTTGGCCAATAAAACCCAGATTGTAGCACCTTCGCTGCTGTTCTAGCTCCCCCAAAATGGCCACCTACTTCTTTCTCATGACAATACCAGAATGCTCTCCATTTCCTCCGGGACACATCTCTGATCATTTAATCAGTGCAGTGTCTGTACAGGAATGGCTTTCCAAAAGTAGTACTTTAAATCTGAGAAAAATTTTCTCTTTGTTGGATGTCATGCCATTGGGAGCACCCTTGATGATAGGTAATTTGCAAAGTCCGCATACCATGGTGCTTCGTCCACTCTCATCAGCTTCTCATCCGGAAATGTTTCTGAAATTGGCATTTCCACCTCATTCCCTGATTGGTCTCTCAATTCAACAAATGATCAGCTACCACATTTTGACCCCTTCTTGTCTCGAATCTCCAACTCAAACTCTTGAAGTAGTAGAATCCACTTATCAACCGAGGTTTTGCTTCTTGCTTCGCCAGTAGGTCTGAGTGCTGAATGGTCCGTGTAAACGATCACCTTTGCACCTAATAAATACGAACGAAACTTGTCAAAAGCAAACACCACAGCCAAAATTCTTTTTAGTGGTGGTGTAATTCAGTTGTGCGTCAAACAGTGTCTTGCTAGCATACTGAATTACATGCAACACTTTATTTTTTCTCTGACCTAACACTACCCTAAAGCAAATCACTAGCATCACACATCAGTTGAAAGGGCAGTCCCCAATGGGAACTGCAATAATAGGTGCAGAAACTAGAATTTTTAAGAGTTAGGAAGCAGCATGCAATCATCATTAAAATAAAAAACAACATCTTTATTCAATAGATTGCAAAGGGGTTTAGAGATCTTAGAAAAATCCTTTATGAAGCGTCTGTAAAACCCCGCATGCCCCAAGAAATTCAGACTGCTTTGAATTTGATGGCGGTGGTAGCTTCTCAATCACTTCTGTCTTTGCCGATCAACTTCAATCATCCTTGGAATCCTATGCCCGAGCACAATTCCCTCTGGACCCTAAAGTGACATTCTCCCAATTCAGCACCAAATTTGTTTTTGCATCGCTGCAAAACAAGAGACAGATTTGTTAGACAATTATCAATGATGACCCAAAAACTGAGAAGTCATCATGAAGACTTCTATGAATCTTTCCACCATGTCTCCAAAGATAGACATCATGCATCTTTGGAATGTTGTGGTGCATTGCATAACCCAAACGGCATTCTTCGGTAAGCAAAGGTGCCGTAGGGGCAAGTGAAGGTCGTTTTCTCTTGATCCTCCGGAGCGATGGCAATTGGTTATATCCTGATAGCCATCCAGGAAACAGTAATATGCATGGCGCAACCTCTACAATCTGATCGATGAAGGGCAATGGAAAATGATCTTCTTGTCGCCTCGTTCAGTTTACGGTAATCAATGCACACTCTCCACCTGTTACCGTCCTTGTTGGAATCAACTCATTACTCTCATTCTTCACAATAGTGATCCCTCCTTTCTTTGGAACAACTTGTACCGGGCTCACCCATGGACTATCAGAAATCGGATAGATGATCCCGATCTAAGAGTTTCACACATCCTTTCTACCACTTCTTCATTGAAGGATTCAATCTCCGTTGTGGTTGTACCCTGCTTAAAGTCATCTCCATGGATCTTATGCATGCAAAATGAGGGTGAATACCTCTAATGTCCGTAATGGTCCATATTGCAGTCTATGTTCTAAACCTCTATATACTCTCTTCCTCTACGGCATTCAAATCTGCACTAATTATCACGGAGAAAGTTTCTGAGTCTCCAAGATAGAACATATTGAGGTGAGGTGGTAGGGTTTCAGTTCAAGCCTTGGGTCTTTTTATTATTTTCCTTTGCCCTTTCTTTGTCAAAGTCAAAATCCTCAAATTCTGCATCTTGACTCTCCTCAATCGGTTGAAGTGCTTCTAACATTCTAGCACAATCATTCCTTGCTGATTCTTCTACCTTTACCATTTTCGATTTGGCTATACACGTTTCTGAGGTAATTCTGGGATGTTTTCTTCCATGGACTCCACAACCAGTTCATCCACCACATCACACTAAAAAATGAATCTGCTTCCGACGGAAACTTCATTGCATCAAACACATTAAATGTTACTGTTTCATCTTGAACCCTTAATAGCAACTTTCCTTCCTGCACATCAATCAGTGCTCTCCCTGTGGCCAAGAATGGTCGGCCCAGAATGAGAGGAATCTCCTTATCCTCTTCCATGTCCAGCACTACAAAGTCCGCTAGAAAAATTATCTTCCCCACCTTCACTAAAACATCCTCAAACTATCCCTCGGGTGCTTATCGACCGATCGCTAGTTGCAACGACATTGTCGTTGGCTTCACTTCACCAACCTTAATCTCCTGAAAACAGAAAAGGGCATCAAATTATACTAGCTCCTAGATCACAAAGCACACGATCAAAAGTATCCCCTATAACACAAGGAATAGTAAAACTCCCTGGATCTTTGAGCTTGGGGGTAATTTCTTCTGGAGGTTGCACTGTACTCTTCCGTTAGCATCACGTTTCCTCATCTTCTAATCCTTTTGTTCGAAAGTATTTCCTTAGGAACTTCGCATAACTCGGCATTTGCTGTATTGCATCTGCAAAAGGAATGTTAATGTGCAATTTTTTGAAAATTTCAATGAACTTCGAAAATGCTTATCCGATTCTTCTTTTCAATCTATGAGGAAAAGGCACGGGTGGGGTGTGATGTGCTAATTCTGGTGGTATCTCGGGGAATGGCAATTTCTCCTTTTTCTTTTGCTTCATCTTTTCTTTTTTCTCTTCCCCAAGGCACCTGAATTCTCTTCACAATTAATCTCTTCATCAATTCTCTCTTCAAACTCTTCCTTTCGGGTTGCTCCACCGTTTGGTAGTGTGGCCTACCTCTTTCAAAACTGTCCCACTTCTCAAAATGATGCATTTGCTTGTTCACGGGGGTGGTCACTGTGTTGCTTGGTAGAGAACCCTGTGGTCTATCATTCAGCTTCTGGCCATTGGCCCATCTGTACCTCAAGATTCCTAATGGCGCCCCCTGGTTTCTAAAGTTTGTCCTCGTTCATTCATGAACCCGTAGTCTCTTGCATGAATTTACCGAACATATCTCCAACTTCGACACCTTTGATTTTCCGGTTGATTGGTCACCCCTGGTGGGTTATTTGGAACTTGCCTCTGGTTCCATTGGTTACTGTTGGTTCTGATTTCCCCAAGCAGATTCGGATGATTTCTCCACCTGGGTTGTATGTGTTGGAGAACGGGTTGTTCGGTTGTCTTTGATTTCCTGCCAAGTAATTCATTTGCTCCGTTGATGAAGATGACGGTGCAAATGTGTTTCCAACTTGGCACTTGCTGCTCACATGGTTTCCTGCCAAAAATCACATGTTAGTTGAGGTGCTTGTATAGAATTTACCTGCATAGTTCCAACTGTTTTTGGAGTGCAGTGAGTTGGGCTGAGATGGCTGTAAAAGCATTACTTCATGAAGACCCGAAGATTTTTGCTCGTCGTTACTTCTCATTCGGTCTTTGATAGTTGTTGCTTGCCAAAACCTCAAGCAACTCATACGCCTCTTTAGGTGTCTTATTCTACAAAGCCCTCCTGAAGCTGCATCCACCATGGTTTACACGTTACCCATCAAACCATTATAGAATGTTTGGACTTGAAGCCAAACCGGCAAAACCATGATGTGGGCACTTCCTCATCAAATCCTTGTATCTCTCCCAGGCCTGTACACAGACTCGGCATCATCTTGTAGAAATGATGTGATATCATTTCTCAACTTCGCGACTTCGCTGGAGGAAAGAACTTGGTCAAAAAATTTTGTGCCAGATCATTCCATGATGTTATCGTGCCCGGTGGTAATGCCATTAACCACCCTTTTGCTTTATCTCCCAATGAAATGGGAATAACCGCAGCCTAATATCATCCGATACTCCATTCGACTTGAAGGTGTCGCAAATCCAGGAAATTTGCAATGTGCTGATTCAGATCCTCTTTCAAATGACCGTTGAATCTAACCGTGCATGGATCATTGGATGATTGCCGGCTTGATCCGAAGGGTTGCTTGTATGTAGTCTCGTAATACTTGACCCACTTCTGTTCACTGTGGGAACTGAAAATTCCCTCAGTGTCCTTTTCTTGTTCAGCCATTCAACAACAACTTCTTCCGCTTCTGCAGGTAAGTGTACTCTTTCTCTCTCTCTTGTTTAGTCTTCTTACAGTCCTTCAAGTCAAGGTCAACAGGAACCACTGGTTGACATCTTGTCTTCGAATAATGAAAGAACACAAGTGAAAGAAAAGTGAAATTACAACTCTAACAAAAATTAAAACTTCAATCTAGTTAAACTCAAGGAAAAACTTAATATTAACTAAAAACAGTCCCGGCAACGGCGCCAAAAACTTGATGCGTGTTTACTACAACATGCAAAAATAGCAAGTGCACTCGCTCAAGTAATAAAGTGATGGGTAGGATATCGTTCCACGAGGACTGCAGCAAAGCATTAAGGTTCCTAACGTTAACAAGTTGAAGCAATCGAATTTCTTGGATTGGTGGGAGCAATTTTAAGGAAAAGAAAACAAAAATTAAAATTAAACAAGGAATTAAATCTAAATAAGAAAGCAAATGAAACACAGAAAATCAATTCAAGTAAAACGGGTAGGGTGTTGACTTCGTTTGGACTTTTATGGGTTAAATCGAAGAGTTACACTATTTTCACATTCTGCGCATGGTTGTAAATCGGATTCACTAATATGTTAACATACCCTTGGGCTAGTTTACCTATTCATCCTTATTAACATTTGCACCCAACAAATTGAAGGTTAATAATTCTAAATCATTAAGCACAAGAATCCTAAATTGATTTCATAATTCTTGAATCTACTCTAGCATCCAATACATAATGGTGATTACCCAAGAAGTCTAACATGAATTATTCTCAATCTCATCATGTTCATCAAATACAGCATTTAATTTCAGACTAAACACACACCAAAGCTATTACATGGAAATAACACAATCAATACTTACACCATTTAAAATCCAAACTACAATCAAAACCTAACCCATAGAAGATTAGTTCATGGCTAAGTAATACTATAAAACGAAAAATAGAAATAAACAAGTTAAACATAATGATCTGAAATGAAAGATAAGAAATCTTCCAAAAGATGAATCTTCTAGTCAAAATCTGAATCTTCCTTTTACAATCCGAAAAAAATCAAAGCTTTACTCTCAGAAAAGTGTAAAAAACGGCTCACCCTAAAAAGCTCAAGATCCCTCAGCAAAAAGTTAAGTTTTTTTTTATACTTAGTCCAAAAACCTAGCCAAAAACACGCACAACACGAAACTGTGCGTTTCAAAACTTAATAAGTTGACTGTCGCGGCGTGGCGAAGAATTCTTCTTCGCTGCGGCGAAGAATGAAAAAAATTCCACATCGCCTCTGCCTTACTTCGCCGCGGCGAAGACAATTCTTCACGGGGCGAAGCTCCTTCAAAAGTTCTGAAATTTACAGAACTGCCACTCTGCTTGCTTCTTTGTTCGATTCTTCGATTTTCGGCTCTCTTCCTTGGAAACAAGCTTCATCGTGCGTTGTCCTGCTCCGAAACTCTCCTATCTTCTGAAATCCGCTCATTTCTGAGTCAAAACTATCCGGTTTTGTCTTTATTCGCTCAAAAACTCCATTTTAACCTGAAACACGAAAAGTAAAGAATTAACACCAATTCAGGTAAAAATGCACTAGAAAGTACCTGAAATCCGACAGAAAGATCAAATAAAAACTGTATAATTTACGGATTATCATTCATCACGCAAGTGCTGAAACATCCCGCTATCACGCAATAGTCGTGGGAACAATACACATAGTGGTTGCAACTCCGTCTCTAATTGCCTCTCTCGACAAATACTTGGGTTGTAGCCAAGGATCTGCAGCAAGCCCTCATTGATAGTGCGACGACGGTTATCCAATGCATATCTTTGATGTTCATGATGTAGTATACTCTTTTAACGTTTGCCCAACTGTTGCCATGTTTGGGCCTTTCCCCCTGTACATACTGCATCATCCTGTCATTAAATTGAAAATCATTAGGGACACCGTCGAAGTCATCTATGGCCAATCTTTTTCGCTTGCCTCCCCTTATTGCACCTCTACCATTAGCCTTTTTCATTAAAGTGTCAAATGTAGTTACTAGTGTTTAGCCAAAGGCCACATCGGTGATGGCATAGTACGGATACAAAATATCACCATTACTACTCTATCGTAGCCTCATAAGTGCCAATACCTCATCAATGTGCTGCATCAAATAAAACAACATGATAAGTATACAATACCTCATGGAAAAGATAAGCAAAAATAAGGGAAAATAACTCACAAAGTCATCGAGCCACCTGCCCATCGTCAACATCTTTTCAAACCACTCCCAGGGATAATCCTCGGTCATGCACTTCACATGTCCATCACTTCCAGAATCATTGTAATAGGCATAGAAGAGTTTTTTCTTTTCCTCATCTATTAGCCTATACAAATCGACCTTTAACTCCTCTGTTTTCACTTGCCCACTTCCTTCGCCTTCCTCCTCCATTTTCACTTCCTCTATTTTCACTTCTCCACTTCCTCTTACCCTCCTCCTCCATTTTTGCTTCTCCACTTTCACGGACTTCCTCATTTTTTTTCTTCGTTTTCCTCTTCTTTCCATACGTTACTGCAGTGTAAGGAGAAATTACATGCTTACTCTTTCGGCTCTCTCTTTTATGCTCAAGTTGCACTTTAACCACATTCAATACCCCACCAACTTCCTCCTCCACCCTACCAACTTTCTCCGCCACCCTATCAACTTTCTCCTTTACCTTTTTCATTCGCTCTTCCATCTTTTCAAACGTCTCATAAACAGCTATTGTAAAACTCTCAAACAACCCATTTATGAGGTCAACCACCTCATTCTCCCGACCCCGACGCCTAGGCAAAGCGGTACTTATTGTACCGATTTGCCAATTGGGTGGAGCCATACGAACCTGTTCATCCTCCTCCTCCTCCTCCCTCCTTCCTCCCGTTGATTGGAGCTTTATCATCCTCGACGTCAACAACATTCTCAAGCAGTGGCTCTGCAACTGTACTCACATGCGTGACCCCTTCTAGGTCCCACATTAGGCGATATGTCCCTTCATTTGCTGCATAGTTTAGTGCTTTGAACGATGTAACATACTCCTCTCTCGCTTCACCCCTAATAGCGATGAGGAAGGGACGGACAACTCCCTGCAAAATTAATCAAATTTATGCCACATTTAAAAGCAAGTGCATATTCAAAAGATTAATCCTTTAATCTTACCCGAGCCGCTTGAATTTCCATGTCTATTTTTTTCATAATCCCAATAGGTACACTTCTCGATGTGCCACCGCAACATCCTAAGAAATTGTGGTCGCTCATCCGAAAACTTCATTGCTGCATTGTTTAGTGCTTTGAACGATGTAACATACTCCTCTCTCGCTTCACCCCTAATAGCGATGAGGAAGGGACGGACAACTCCCTGCAAAATCAATCAAATTTAAGCCACATTTAAAAGCAAGTGCATATTCAAAAGATTAATCCTTTAATCTTACCCGAGCCGCTTGAATTTCCATGTCTATTTTTTCATAATCCCAATAGGTACACTTCTCAATGTGCCACCGCAACATCCTAAGAAATTGTGGTCGCTCATCCGAAAACTTCATCGTCACCCCCCCCCCCCCCTCACTTAGCCAAGATAGGGGTGACCTCATACATCCAAGCCTAGATTGTAAAAAAAATAGTCCATATCATAATTAAAACACATATAATACAAAAAATATAACAAAAAGCTATTAATATTTACCTACATTGCCCATGGGAAGCTAAACAATTGTACGTGCTCGGTCTATTCTTCTCGACAGATTGGCATTGCTTTAACACCATGTCTTTTCCTTGTAGGGAGTCCATGGTTAGTTAAAATGATACCCGTCCTCACGGATAAGCATTAAAGAAGTTCACGTTGCTTGCAAACTTCACCCGATCCATATTAACTATTTTTTTTTAGTCAGAAACCATTAGGATCGAATGCACGAACCATACCAGGCACATCTTGAACCTCTCTGAAGAGGTATACCCACCTTCTCCTCTCCTCTCCTTTAAATTGCGTCCCTAATAGACGCCTTCCCCCCAAAACCTTTTTAGCCAAGTTATCGGCTGCCCTATTCTTCTTTATTCTCTCTTGCTCTTCCGCATTTGGAAATGCCCTACATCTTAAGCCTATCATCAGGGCATATTCCATCATCCCAAAACGTAATGGCTTCCCATCCACCACGAACCATATTTCATTTTTTTTTTTTTTTTTGGCTTTTTACTAAGTGCAGCTACATATAATGCACTCCTTGCCCCCAAAATGCCTTTTTCCAATTTTCTCCGATATTCACAAAATGACCGAAACAACTCTCTTTGAATCGGTCCATACCCTTCTTCTATTCTTGTAAAATCTCTATTATTCTCGTAAAAACTTGCCAACTTGACCTAACTGTCACCCTTACACGAAAGTACGGTACCTTATCGCTTACAACCTCCAACCCATAGTCTTTATAATTTACACTTTAGAAAATCTGCACAATCGATATAAACTAAATATCACCCAAAAAAAAAAAAAAAAACCCAAAATGATAATCCTATTTTTTCCTATGATTTTGCATTGAATTTTGATAGGATTTAGGATACTCCTCATACAATTTGGGCCATAATTGCTACCTAATTCTGTTAATTTTTCTTTGCAGGCCTAAACAATG